AACAGATTTGGTTCATTACATCGAAAGTAAAATTTATAAAAAGAGAAAAAGGCATACTTTCCACACCCAAATGCACAAAAAAATCATTAATCTGAATTAAAGATGGAATAAAAAAGAAATGAATGATTACGTAAATTATATGTTTGGAGGGTTGAGTAATAATGTTTTAACTTTTTGTCGAAAGGCAGGTAATGAAAATTCTTTATATACTTTAGGAAGGTCATTATAAATAATAGCAACATTGTAAAAAAAACTGCGTTTAAAAAGTGTAGTCGTAAGCGGGGGTATTCTAATATTATTTTCTCTGAGAGTTCTACAGTGAACATCATTATTAAGTGAAATTTTTTCCTTCAAGTAATAAGGTTTAGACGTGAGCAGCAATTTGTGAACAAAAACTGAATAGTGATACTTGACCATGTCATTAATTTTTAACCAGTTTAGAACGGGATATTTCGCTGATACATGATCAAATTTATGTTAGCCAAAAATGAATGGTATACAATTGTTTTGAATAACTTGAATAACGTTTTTAGTGAAATTGTCTTAACAAGTATAGTATACGATGTTACAATAATTTAGTATAGATATGACCAATGCTTCACATTGTGCGAACGCTGCGGAGTAGAGGAAGAGACCTCGGCGCACGTTTTGTGTCGCTGTGAAGCTCTGAGCTACTATAGGCAAACTATACTGGGGTCCATTACTTTGGACCCTCAGGACGTAAAGGAGCTTGGACTCAAGGCGATTCTCAACTTCGCTAAAAGGGCGAGGCTTGTGATTTAAGTATTGTAGAGGTGCATAAGGGCCCGCTTAAGTGGCCTATGCACTGGCTCCTTATGGTGGCCGGGATGCCTCTAAAATTCAAGATTCATTCATTCAATGCTTCACATAGTTTTTACGCAACTTAAAATTTAGTAAATACCTGTTTGCTATAAGAGTGCGCAGCCGTAGGTAGGTTTTCTGAGATAGACTTTTAACATGTTCAATAAACCTTAATTTAGTATCAAAAACAACACCAAGAATTTTTGCAGAATCAGAGAATTGGAAAATTTGGTTATTTATCTGAATGTTCAAGAGCTGTGTTACATTGTATGTTTTTCTTTGTGCGCAAAATAATTACATTTTAGATTTTTGTGGATTAATAAGTAGATTGTGATCTAAAGAGTATTTAATTAATTTATTAACATCGTTTTGTAAAATTTGAGTAGTATTATTGACATTATCTGGGTTAAAATAATGGAGCAATTGCGTATCGTCGGCAAATGACTGGACATGAGAATTATCAATACTTTTGCTCAAGTCGAACGTATATATGAGGAACAGAAGCGGCCCCAATACAGAGCCCTGAGGTATGCCTGGGGGAATTATTGTCACTTGAGACATTTCTTGATTGAGAAAAACACACTGAGTTCTTTGATGAAGGTAACTGTCGAAAAATAAAAGGGATACATTGTCAAGACCTATGTAATTTAATTTAGCAAGTAATAATTTATGATTGATGCTGTCAAAGGCTTTCGAATAGTCTATATAGATTAAGGCTAGTACCATTTTCTTATCTAAGGCACTTAAGATATTGTCTTGCAGATTATGTAGGGCAGAGGTTGTACTATAATTTTTTCTAAAACCGGATTGAGTGTCGGGAAGTATAAAGAATTTTTCTAGGTAAGCGGTCAATTGGAACTTTATCATTTTTTCTAAAATTTTGGATAAAATTGGTAATAAACTGATAGGTCTGAGATCATTATACTTAGTGGGTTTCATTTTTTTAGGAATTGGAATAATTAGAGCTTGTTTCCATGCTTCTGTTAAACCAGTCAAGGCCACAACAATCATGTGTTACATGAATATCCTCGCCGATACATTTTCTCATCGCTTCTCCTCCTTCTATAGCGTACGAAATTTCATGATGGATAGCGCTAAAAGGAGAAAAGCGTAAGTCAAGCGAGATGATGAAGCACGTTCGTTATAAAAATTTCGACGACGGTTCAAATTACCCCCTACCTCTAACTTACCTCACTTATCTCCATCATCGTCTTCGCATACACCGCGTGTGGATTTTAGCCGCTTTGGCTGCTGTGAAATTTGTTTAAATTAGAGAATTCGATTGAGGGCTCCGAAGTCTGAGGGTTACCGAGTCTAAGGAAATTACCAAAATAATTTGTTGGTATAATGGATGCTCATACAAGAACTTTCCGGTAATTATTACTATGATAGAACTGTTGAGAGAAATGTTACTGCTAGGTTATAGATTTAACAAGTTTTTGGTGTAATATTTACTTATATTGATATGCTGCATCTCTCTCTCTCGCATTAACGCAGAATATACATTTAAACACAAAGGTTTACAATAACAATTACCATTGGAATGCTTAAGAATTTCATTAAGGAATGTTTAAAATATATTTAAAAATTCTGGAATCAGTATTTTTTTCCAAAAAAGCTCATATTTGAAAACCATCAACTTCAAAGAAAAGCTTCTGAAAACCCTTTTTGTCCAGACTGATTCTTAAGAAACTCCCGTCGGGAGAAAAAAAAACAAATTTCTTAGTTTGTTTTGATCGATGACTCTTCTCTAACGGACGGTTTCGAGAACCTTTCGCACTGATGGGTCGTCGGCGATCTACTATAGCTCTCCTTTACCGCTATGTCAACGGGCTTTGCTCATTTAGACCTCTCCTACACGATGCTACCGTGCGATGAGCCTACCAGACAGACACCGCTAATTTCGGCCTCCCATTGTGACCGTGTCAAACTTAGTATATCCAAAACTGGCTGGTACGAGCGCTCCTTTGTCTCTAGGGTGTCGAGGTTGTGGAACAATCTTCCTGATGAGGATTTTTCCAGTTCCACTAACATTAGGCAGTTCCAAAATCGGAATAAAAGGTATGACTTTAAGCTCCTCGTAGCAGCCGCAGTGCCCAGGTATTTAGGCGGCTTCTTTGGTTTGAAAAAACTTGTTTGTATACCCTGGTTCCAACAGCATCATGACAGCGACATAATAATAATAATAATAATAATACTAATAATAAACCGTCTTTCATCGGAAAACAAATTACAGATAATGCATATATTATTATCTATAATTAGATTAGTGAGCAGCTTAATGGCGCAGTTTAGCTATGGCAGCTATTCTTACACTTAACCATTAACTGCATAACATGGTAAAAAAGTACAGCTGTAAAGAAAATAAAAGGAGGAAAATGAAAAAAAAATTAGCTTTAAAATATAATGCTGGAGAAATACACCTTTAAGAATCACCAATGAGCAAAAGAGCTCTTAAGTGTTTTTAAAACTATACAGCGGCAGGCTTTTTGTTCTGTAATCTAAGCTATTGTACAACATGCATGCATTATATGAAAAGGACCTGTTAAAAACAGATGAACTATGGAGTGGCATTGTTAAAGCGAATGTGTTACGGATATGTCGTTGATGAACATTATACCTAAAAATTAGTTTTTTACGTAAATAAATTGGAGTTCCAGAGACAAGTAACTTATGTATAAAGGTTAGATAGTTGTATTTAACTACATCTGTCATCTTTAACCATCCTATTAAAGGATAACGATCCGAAACATGATCAAATTTTCTTAAACTAAATATGACTCGTACGCAGTTATTTTGTACTACAGATATTCTGTTACGACTTGCAACATCCAAACAAGGATGATAAACTAGATTGCAATAATTAAAAATAGATAACACAAAAGATTCACACAACTTTTTTTGCACTTTAAAATTCAGCAAATTTTTGTTCGCATACAGAGTTCTCAGGCGGATGTAACTTCTTTGTAGGAGGTAATTTAAATGTTCATGAAGCGGCACGTTTTCATCAATAAACACGCCTAGACACTTGACACTTTCAGAAAAAGGAAAATTTTGATTGTTAATAGATATACTCAAGGAAGCTTTGACTTCGGCTCTTCTGTGATTTGGACAAAACAGCACAGCAGAAGATTTAGAAGCGTTAACGGTTAGGCTGTTATTGGCTGAGTAGGTGCAAATAGGGTCAATGTCCTCGTTAATTTCCATAGTAGCAGTCTGGAGGTTCTCAGGATAAAAGAAGTAAAGCAGTTGAGTGTTATCCGCATAAGACTGTAGCTGTGAATTTTGAATGGACTTATCAATATCGGCTACATAAATTAAAAATAACAAGGGTACTAAAATTGAGCCCTGAGGCACACCCGAAGTAATAAAGTGCTCATTTGACAAAACTTCAGAAAGTGAGACGCGCTGAGAACGGAGAGTTAGGTATGATTTAAAAAACTGCAGTGCTATTTTATCAAAACCATAAAATTTTAGCTTAGCACACATCAGTGCGTGATCGATTCTATCAAAGGCCTTGGAGAAATCCAGTGAAACTAAGGCGACACACATTTGTTTTTAGGGCCCTGATGATGTTGTCCTCTAAATTAAGAAGAGCAGTTGCAGTACTGTATGATTTTCTAAACCCAGACTGATGTATGTCACTTGACTCTAAAAAATCTAAGATTTGCAAATAAATGATTTTCTCCAAGATATTTGACAAAACACTCAAAATACTGATTAGCCTAAGATCCGAGATCATCGCTCACGTCCATCTGTTTGATTGTATGTACGGCAAAAGCGTCGCAGATTTTCTCCGTTATTCATTGCGAGTGATGGGGCCTGCCCGCCACCCCCTCGCCCTTTGACAAATCATTGCCGGAAATACGGGGGTAGCCCGTTTAATTTTACGGGCTATTGAAATCGTTATAGTCCTCACCCCTACTCCGGCGGATCCGGATGCGCACTTTACATATGTCGCCGGGCTCTTTTCCGCTACGCGTTTATTGAATTCGAAATCGCCACACGAACAGCGGTGGAGCTGGTAGAATATTGTGAATAGTAGAATAAAGGGCCCCTAGATAGACTCAACATGATCTCTGCTTATTTCCTCTCCAATCTAACACGTGGATCGAGAACTAACCGGCAGGGTATGATTCCAAAGTATTGAGTATAAATTCTCCTGAGTTTTTTTATACCAAAGCAGCAGCTGCTATAAGGAGCCTAAGACGAAATAGCTTTTTGATGAAGTCTATATCATTCAAGAAGAGATTTTGTACTCCGTCTTTGACAGCAGGTACTTTATCTGAAGATATATTTAGTTCAATATCAACTTTTGTTGAAAAAAGTGATTTGGATTGGAATAAACTCATTGGACTTTGCACAGATGATGTACCTGCAATGATAGGTGTACGGTCGGACTTAGCTAAAAAGCTCAAGGAAAAAAATCCCGCAATGGTTAGTACACATTGTGTTATTCATCGGCAAGCTTTGGCTCCCAAAACATTGCCACAGATATTACGCCAGACTTTGGACTCGGCGATAAGGATTGTAAACTGCATCAACAGCAGCGCTTTGAACGGTCGCTTATTTACTTTACTTTACGAGGATCTTGATTCATCTGTTCCATACACAAGTACTTTGGCTGTCCAAAGAAAACATGTTGGCTGGCCTTTATGAATTGAAAGAATAGGTAATTATTTTTCTTAAGATCAAAGAAAAACACGATTTCTTGACAATGTTCAAAGATGACACATCTCAATGGAGGTTGCCTTATTTAACTGACATATTTGACTCCTTGAATGAGCTAAACTTGAAACTTCTGGGCAGAAACAACACTATAATAAGCAATTATGATAATATTCAGGGGTTCATGTCAAAGCTTTGGAATCAAAAAGTGTCTTCTGAAAATCTTATATCTTTTAGAAGCAGTTAAAAATAACAAACAGGACGCAAATTTAAAAGCTGACATAAAAACTCATTTGCAAGCTGTGGAAGACGAATTTCCCCGATACTATCGAGACAAAAATTCAGAGTCACCAATATGGCACATGACAAGAAATCCATTTGTTGTCGACGTGTCACAATTACCAGAAGAAGTTCAGAAAGAATTTCTAGAAATGAAGGCTGATTCGTCCATGAAAGATGACTTCCATCTTTTAACATTGGAGAAATTTTCTATCAAAATCTGTCTGTCTATCTATTACTTTCCATGGTATGCCATACGGATATTGTAAGTTCACTCCTACCTTTTTCAAGTCAACAATTTCTTTTTATTTCTAAATATTTTTATGCTAACATAACAGGGTACGAACATTTATAGTTGAGTCATGGTGCATGCGAATATTCTAAGATTTATATTTTATGCTCAACCGTGGAATATGAAGTTCACTGTGTTTCACAATCGTGCAGTTAATGTTGACAGTCGCATTTCAAAATTGGGTAACCATTTTTTATCTCTGAATTTAATTTAGATTTTATTATAGACCCTTTCAAAAAAAGAAGAAGATCGATATACACTATTTTGCTGTTTTGTTGTTGAGTTACAGGCAGATCAATATACAAAAATGCTAAGCTTTGACAGCCCACTCTCTAAAAGATAGTCATAAAATATCCACAAGAAACATCAAATTAATGTATCACATGACCCAATCCTTTTTAAAAAGTTATTAAAGATGGCACCCAGCCATTATATTAAAGTTTTCATCTGGTATTTTTACGGTAAAAAATAATATTCATGTAATTATTTCGTCATTCTTAATTTCAATCTGCTAAGTGGACCCGTCCTGCATGGTCATTGAGTCATTGAGCTTTAGTCGCACAAATTATAAATAGCTTTCTGGAATTATGTAATTATGTATTTCGGTCTGACTATAATTTTTAACCGGGTATTGAGGATTCTAGTGGCCACAATTTGGCCGCATCCTAAGAGTAGATGTCTTATGGGGATTCGGTCTCAAAACTTCCAAAATCCGCCACCAGAGGCGCTGGCGTCGCGCGCCATTGACAGGTTGTTGGACGGAATCTGTAATCATGAGTTGGGGATTCCGCCGCTAGATGGCGCTGTCAAACCAAACGGAATCTGTGTGTCATTGGACACCTGTCATGCGTCATTGGGCATCTCACGCATAGATGGCGTTAAAACGTCATCTGTCATACGTCATTGGACACCTGTCATTGATGGGTTGGGCATCTCGCGCATAGATGGCGCCGATTTGTTTGGCGCTGTACAAACCTAACGGAATCTATGCGTCATTGGACAGCTGCCATTGATGGGTTGGGCATCTCGCGCATAGATGGCGCCGATGTCGCACCTGTCTGGTGTTGGCGTGGATTACGGGGGGCAACGTGTATACAGGGGTGCATCGAAAAATAGCGGATCGATGGACCGGTATATCGTTAAATCGTATATAGCAAGGCGTGACCTAAATAGCGTGGTGGGCTCCTCTGGTCGGTCGGTCGGTCGGTCAGAATGTCTCATAACCTGTATACGATGTACTGTTATTATTATACAGGATGATACCGTTCAAAATGAAAATAGTATAATGGATATTTTATTGAAACATATAGTATATATAACAATAAGGTTGATTGGTGTGTGTGTGTGTGCCATGTTTTGAATACCCGCGCTTGAACAACTTGCAACAAGAAATTCCGACAATATTATTTCGCAAACCAGAGGTATTTTCAATAAAACTACATATCAGGGAGTACTTTAGATGTTGATACTAATCGACTCAAATCATTGTTCGACAACTGATTTGGTTCATGACAGACAAGAATCAAATTATGTATTTCACGGTTCAGTTCTGGTTGTTTTTTAATTTTTTCCCTAAACTTCAGGTAACCCAGGAAATATGTCTCTTATCCGTCCTCTGTTCAACACATCAGTAAAATCGTTAGAAAATTCTATATATGACATATTATTATAAAAGGTATAGGACCGTCCTGCGTTTGATTGAAAAATAGCATTGATTCGAGCCCTATCGGGTATATCAATTGAAAAATTATCAAGAAATTTAATGGTAGGGAATGATGCTGAGAAATAGTTGTTTGGAGACACAATGGTAATCAAGTCACCGTTTGTTGATTGGAAAATATGTTGTAAAGTGTATTGACGTAATTCTGTAGGAACATAATCGACAAGAAGTTCAGGCTGAGATGGGATAATCATTTCGTTTAAGTCTAGTTTCCATATAAACATATCATGTGCAATATATAATCGGTAATTTGAAAACTCTGGAGCAATAGCTAAAAACATAAAATCTGGAATAATATCACACAAATTTTTGAGGATCGGCTGCTTACGAGTTGTAGATCTTATAGTTGTTGTTGTTTTTGGTATTGCTGATGCGGTGGTAGACGTTGGGATTGAATCATATTTGTTTTTTCTTCCATATAGATATTGTACTGCATTTATATCATCAACATCTAGACCACGAATCTCATGCTGATAGAAGGCAAACATAATAGCATTCGGAGAAGCACTATGTGCTATGCCGAGAGCATGTCCAATTTCATGAACCAACACCTGATAGAGAATGATGTCAAAAATCTCAGATAGCAAATATAAATTCGTTTACCCCCCAATCAAAATCTTGACTGAAAAAAAATTAGGCAGCAAATATACAATAATCATACACGAATTTACTATATTTCTAAATTTCTACTCTCATGTGCAACTTGTAATTGGAATTTCCGCCGGACAAACGATACATTCATGTATTACTAAGAAATTATATAAAAAATACTGCAACCGCAATGAATGTTGTTTTCTCGATAAAAATGGTACTGAGAATATGATGCATATAATATGCATATTTACGATACAATTATCTCATGCACGCGTGTGTTATCTCAACCACGTATTTATATTTAGCGAGCGCATGCAATAGTCATCATTGTTTCACACTTAACGCACAACGCTGCAAGCTGGAACAACGGCCGCAGTACAATAGTGCTTCGAGAGAGACGAGATAGCGAAAATTTTAAAAAAAGTAAGTGCTATTTTATTTAATATTTTTCTTTTTTATGTCTCTAAGTGCAACTGTTTTTTCGTGTTATGCTTCAAAATAGTTAGACGACTCAATTTTTTTTATAGATGGATTTATCAAAAATTAATGTTGCGTCTTCGATTGTAGACCGCAAACCTATCAGAAAATTAAAGGACCTACCAGTCGGGACACCATTTGCAATCCAAGCAGCTAAAGTGGTCAAGTCGAAATTTGGGGAAGCCGTGCTACTAGATTTAGGACCGGAAGTGCTATTTCTACCACAGCGGGTGACGGAAACGTACCAGCCGGTCATCGACGAACTTTTTCACGGAAAATACTCGATCATCTTCCAAGGGGAAGTGGACGTAGGGAAAAGCCGACCGCTAGCATCATTCAAAATAGTGGAAAATTAACAAAGCAGAGAACAGGAGGAGGAGGACAGGGTGAGCATTTTTATATATTTTTGAGTAATGTGTTTGCTTGAAAAAAAAAATGTCGTCTTTTCAAATGTCTTCAAATAAGGTTAAAAAGATCATCAAACAAACAGACGGTGTTCTACTATCAATTGTTAGTCTACGGAAAATTTTATTTGATAATTTTACAATCAGAGACGCGGAAGTGTGGCTGAAACGAATAGAAAAACAAATTAGATTATGTAAACGGGTAATTCGTAGTAGAAGGCAAAATAAATTATCTGTAGGGACCTGTAGAAAAGTAGAAACAAATTTGGGGCATTTTAAACATTTTAGAAAGTTGATTTTAACTAGACATATTGGGGCAGGACTTCACTTAACATTGGGTCAGAGGGTTAGATGGGAAAATGTAGAATCGAGCTTTCAAAGTAGAATAAAAACCGGTTCCATAGCTAATTTGCGTCATAAGGACTTGAATCAATTTTTAGCAGATTGTGTAGTTGTTTTTAAAAGGAAAATTAGGAATATTTTGAACACCCATTGTGCGCTCAAAGTAAATACAACATTTTGCGGGGAGTTTATTAGGAAATCGGGGGATAATGAAATTTTGGGAATTAAATATATTAATACTAAAAATCATATTATTGATACATCAACTCAAATAGACGAGTGGTTTAAGATATATGTGAAAGATAAACTTTTAAACGAATTATCGGAATTTGCTGAAAAAGATTCGGGATTTGCGTTAAATAAAATTATTTCCTTAGTTGTTAATATCAGTAAATATCAATTGGGAAACGGTTCATCTTATATTAGACTACCAGAACCGATTATAAGGAAAAATGCTTGTATAAACATTAAAAATATAGATCAAAATTGCTTTTACTGGGCCATTGTAAGCGCTCTTCGGACTCCTAGCAAAAAAAGACATGCAGAACTAACCTCCTCATATCCACACTTTACTGA